GGTGCCCCCCCCGGGGCCAAGCCCCCACAGGGCACCTTCCACTCCATTTATTAAGAAATTAAAAAAAAAATTCAGAACCCCCCACATGCCCCAGCAGAGTGGAGGGGCCCAGCCCACAGCCCCATCCCCACCAGTCCCCTGCAGGGTGCCCCACACTGGGGGGGCCCAGCCCATAGCCCCATCCCCCCAAGCTCCGGCCCTGGCAGCCAAGGGGCTGGGACACCTTGTGGGGCTTACCCCCACCACAGGCTGGGACACCCCCCCCATTACATCAGCACAGCCGTGTGGCAGCCCCTCCCAGCTCAGGGTGGTGCTGAGGGTCTGTGATCGAATGGCGCTGTCTCCTCCCGGGCTGGACACGGGGCTGGGCACGGGGCAGTGCCCCCACCAGCCCCTCAGCACTTCCGCCGGCCCCACTCCTCGTCGCTGACAAACACCAGGTTGCTCTGGCCACCCCCTGGCCGGGGGGCCAAGCCGGGCGAGCTCTGGGAGCCCTGGAATGTCTTCATGCGGGGCCCAGCGGCCAGCACCCGCCCAGCTCCCTGCAGCCACGACAAAAGGAGGCATCAGGCCCTGCCCTGAGCGGGCCCCTACCCCATTGCCCTGGACACTGGGCATCGTATGCCCTGGCCTCTGCCCCCACCCTGCCCCCCAGCGTGGGGGGAAGCTAGTCCCGGCCCTGCCCCTCCCAGAGCAGCTGCCCCAGGGCAAAGCTGCCAGCCAGGGCCCGGTGCCATGCCAGGGGCAGGGCAGAGATGGCACCCGGGTGCCAGCTGAGGGGGACACAGCAAAGGGACAGCCAGGGCTCTAGGGCAGGGGAGCTTCCCCTGAGCCTGGCCCCCTCAATCCTGCCCCAGGGGTTGGTGCTGACTCACCCGGGGCTCCCCAGTGCCAGAGCTGGGGCCAGGCCCCCACCCAGGGCCCCCCCACTCACCAGCCTGTCCCCATGGCCGAGCTCCCGGATCTCCACCTCCTCCAGGGGCCGTGGGGGGCGCACGCGGGGCAGACTCAGCTGCTGGGGCTGGAAGGGCAGCACGACCGGCTCTGCCAGGCTGGGGCGCTGTGCCAGGGCCTTGGCTCGCCTGAGAGGAGAGGGGAGTTACCAGGCCAACTGCCCCCTCATGCGCCCCAGGAACCTCATCCCCGTCCAGGCCCAGGCCAGAGACCCCAGCCACTGCCAGGGCCCTCCCAGCACCGAGCGGGGCCCCGCGGGGTTTGCACTGCCCCTTCCCAGCCCCACTGCCGTCTATGCGGCCCCCCAGGGCACCCACCCACCCCAGGGTCATGGGAAGAGGGTGGGCCCCAGCCCTGAGGCCAGCACCCGCAGGCAGGACAAGCCGTGGGGGTGGGGGGAAGAGCTTCCGGCCTAGCAGCCCTAGGGCGAGGTGGGGAGGGCAGGGGAATGTGCCCCAGCCCGTGGCCCCGGAGCAACAGCGCCAGCCATTCCAAAGTGCCAGGTAGCGGCTGGCTGGGTGCCAGGGCCCTGCACCCCACAGGAACACTGCCCCCCCCCCATGCCCTGTTCCCCATTGGCCTGCACACTCCACATGCACTGCCCCCCAGCATCCTGCCCAATCACCCCTAAGGACAGGCCCCAAGTACCCCCCACGACTCCCACACCCCCATGCTCTGAGCAAGGTGGCAGGGGGAGGGAAACAGCCTCACCCCCGGCCAGGAGTCAGGCTGCGCCTTGGCCTGGTGCCCTCTAGTGGCTGCTCCACACCAGAGCCAGCAGCTCTGCCAGCGCCCCTCACTCCCGACCCGCAGCCCAGCCCCAGGCTCTCCCCCCACCCCAGCTCTGCCAGCGCCCCTCACTCCCGACCCACAGCCCATAGCCCAGCCCCAGGCTCTCCCCGTCCCCCCCCCAGCTCTGCCAGCGCCCCTCACTCCCGACCCACAGC